CAATACCGTGTAATGTCCACAGGAGGCGCTGTTGTCCCTTTCAGTACTTGGTGGTAAGCACTGTGAGAGAAGGATCATGGAATAGAGCAATCACTTTGTAACCTCTCGAGGTCTTTAACCAATGATGGCTTCCATTCTAACTGTAAATGCTGTACAGTAGTGTCTAAGAATAGGCCCTACGTTCCTAGTTCTCATCTTGTGTGGAAGTCAGTTCCTTTTATTTCTAGGGGTATGAAATTTTGTTGACTAGTTTAAAGCTAAACATTAATTTCATGTAAAGCTGGTACATGTTGTTCTAAGACCAAATAATTTGTGATAGAATCAAAAGAGCTCATCAGATCTGTTAGTTAATGCAGTATGTAGCTGAATTTTCTTTCAACACCTGTTTTTATTAAGCATTATGTTGGAGGGCAGTGCAGCTATGTACTAGGTTTATGGTAATGTTTGAATGGAACTGCTTTCAATGTAAGCAGGGTCCCTGAAAAAACTTATGCAATGCTTTGCCGTGCGGTGGTGTTGTGTTGTATTTCCCCAGAAGATGATCAGTTTGTGTGCGTTTAGGTATGTTTTAGTTAGGACAGAAGAAAAGAAGGATTTCTAGTGTACCCAGTCCAGTTCAGTGTTTCTTGCAGATACTACATTGTACATGTACAGCCAGTGCTTCAGACTCAATTCAGTTTGAAACACCCACAATGCTGACAAACCTAGCTACATTAATACTGGTTACTTTGAATTTGGAAAGGGGCTAGAAACAAATATCTGTAGCAACAAAAAGTGATGACAAAAGGAAAGGATGAAGAGGAAGTTATGCCTTATGTAAAATTTAATTAATTTTCATCATTGAGAGATGAAATACTTGTGTTAGAATCAAATTTCCATTTTCTTTCCAAGTCTGAAATAGCCAGTGATCATTATTTTTTTTAGATGATTTAAAATGAAGAGTTGATAGTGTAAAGAATTCAGAGTTGCTGTTGCTCTTCCCAGAAAAAGTCATGATATTGTGTATAAACTGCTGAATGTAACAGTCACAACAAACTATGTATCTGTACAGGATGCCGTGGCGCATGAAATATACCCAACAGTGTCTGTCTTTGAAATCTGTCTGTGTCTATATTAGCCAGTGGGCCGTCCGTTTTACTCCTTCCACTCACTACCCGAGTAGGTTTAGGGTATAAAAACGGCTGGCTGCTAGGCTATGTCTATATCAGGCTCTCTCAGCTGCTCAACTATGCTTTTTCACAATGCTGTACTAATTAGACAGTAATAAGTATATAGAGAGAATTCATTCTTCAGGTAACAACATCTTTTGCAGGGGAATCATCCCTTACTAAGACATCTGGTGTGGATGACAGGCTGAATAATTGGAACAATACAACTCCCGATGTCTTACTGAGGGACGACTGCAGTGCAAAAGATGTTGGTTAACTGAGGAATGAATCCCTTGTCTCTATATCAACAGTAATAAGTCTGTGTCTCGTATGTGATGTTACTGGTCTTCATATCAAACGGGAAATGTCATCCCTTTGGTGTGGAAATTGTGACAATGTATCGAAAAGAGGTACTCTTCTTGGCATTGTGATTGACAGCAAAAAAAGACTTCTCTCCTAGAATGATGATCTGATCTTTTATTACATGAAAATGATGAAAACACGTACATTTGTTTCTAGATTTGCATAGAAACGATGCTAGCAATTTTCTGTGATGTTTGTTAGTGTATTGGTTTGCTTTTAATTTGAATTGCCACATGTTTAGCTTGTGTGCATAGCTATGAAAGATCTATGTAAGGGAGAGAGATAAAAACAGACTAAGCTCATGTTTGTATGAACTATCTTGGACAAAGGTAAAAATGGTTTATGACTAAAATCTTGCCATTTATTTCGGTGGGAAAATGTTGAAGTATGACCCTAAATGTTTCTGAGAGCAATCTGATCTAGTTGATTGTAACCAATGGACGAAGTGTTTGAAAAAAGTAATTTTAGGTTCCACCAAAACCACAACAACAGAAAAAGAATTTAGATACTTTGGATTGGTTTGTAAGGACTTTATCTAAAACTGTTGAGAAGATCATATTAAAATGATAACCAGAAATTACAGTAGCTTTATGTATGGCATACCAAAAGAAGTCAATTCCTTTGTAGATTTTAATTTTTGGTAGGTTTGAAGAAGACTCTGAAAAATGTGACAGCGTATAGTGTATTCAAGACTTTCACCTGTGGAAAAAAGTGATATCAGATACAGAGTGCCTCCTGCTGTAAAACATTGTTTTCATTATTTGTTGAATCATGTTGAAACAGGATATTTCTAATGTACACTAGCCTCTATCAGGCTTCAGAAGTGGCTGGAAAGTATAAAAATTGGCCAAATAGATAACATGCCAAGGGAGTTGGTCCGCTAAAGTAGTATTAGCTGCCTCCCAAACATATATGTCTA